CAAGTACGAGGCATCGAAATGGAACTACTTCGAGCTGCACTACGAAGCAAGCAGAACGAGATGTTTGCCAGAATGAAGAAGTGTGCAACGAAGGAACATTTTTGTGCTTTGTATTTAGAGGATCGCCTTTGGAGGAGGATAGTTGGTGGGTCAATATTGATATGCGATTTTATTAGATCTAATGCCAAAATAACCTTACAACGGAAATTCGAAAGCCTGTTGGGTAATTCACACGTCTCAGCTTCAAGAAACAACCGCAAACGAATTCCTTACGTTTCTGATAATAGTCAAAATGGGGTTGATAATACACCAAGAAAATCTAGGGTCACCGTGATTGGGGGCATAACAATACCTGAGAATGCGCGCTCGCTATTAGAATTGGGCCCAAGTTTTGCACCATCACACTCTATTTCTAAAGCGACCCTGCGAAGGATAGCATGCAACCTTTATGAGCTTCAAGATCGACTCCGCTATCAGGCCAAGCAAGAAACATCAAATAGAGATAAAAATCAAGAAGCGGCGACACTACCACCATCTCCTTTCCCAAAAACGTTCTTTAGACAGCAGGACCCTAACGATGGAGTTGACATAGAATTCCGCGCGTTTTCGGACGGCGTTCTCAAGACCCTTGATCACTACCGCGATAGAAAGTTTATCTCTAACCTTACAGCCGCACCTGATGATCATGCGTCAACCAATCCGTCATCATTTAAGGTTAGACCGATCATCAGCTGCGTAGACGGGCCAACGGATAGAATAACCTGGTTTTTAAGCCTGATACTTACCCAGTTGCTTAACCACATTCCAGCTCACCTCACAAACACCCAAATGTTCCTAGAACGTCTACGTAACGCGTCTCCCAATAACGCGTACGTGATGGAGTCTTTCAACGTTACCACACTGTACACCAACGTATCGAATGACTCTGCAATGCAAGCCATCTTCGAACTTCTTGTTGAACATGAAGGAAGAATAAATACGCATGGCTTGTCCATCCAGCTGCTAATGGCTTTCTTAAAGGAGTGCCTAAACTACTCGATCTTCAGATGGTCTGGGCAATATTTCACGCAAATAAGGGGGTTGGCAATGGGACAGCGGTTGGCACCAAGCCTGGTCATTGTTTTTATGTCTAAGATAGAAGCCCCTGTTCTCGATCTCCGGCCACTACTCTACTGCAGATATGTAGATGATTGTTTTGTCGTCTTCTCTACGCAGGAGGAGATGGACAAATGCTTCGAATTATTGAACGAGCAGTCCGAGTAAATAAAGTTCACCCGGGAGAAACCGAGAGAAAACTGGCTTCCGTTTTTGGACGTCCAAATAAACCTATCAAGTAGCGGTTACCTGACAAAGTGGTATCGAAAGCCAAGTAACAAGAACATCCTTGTCCATTTCCTTTCTTCCCACCCTTCACACACAAAGAGGGCGATTGTGAGAAACATGTTTCGAACAGCCACCTCTGTGTGCACTACTAGGGAACTAAAGGAAGAATCGCGCGACTTGGCCCGGCAAATAGCCACCTCCAATGGCTACGAAATAGTAACCCCACGAGATAAGTTTACAAGGAGAACGACGCGCCCACGCGAAACGCTTGGCCAAAACAAAATCCCGTTTATGTTGTCTTTTGTAAGCGATGAAGTAAGAGAAGCTATAAAACGATGCTNGTTTTTATGTCTAAGATAGAAGCCCCTGTTCTCGATCTCCGGCCACTACTCTACTGCAGATATGTAGATGATTGTTTTGTCGTCTTCTCTACGCAGGAGGAGATGGACAAATGCTTCGAATTATTGAACGAGCAGTCCGAGTAAATAAAGTTCACCCGGGAGAAACCGAGAGAAAACTGGCTTCCGTTTTTGGACGTCCAAATAAACCTATCAAGTAGCGGTTA